TAGGCTTCGGAGATCCATACGTGCGGCAGGACAGGAACTATTGAAGCTTAGGGAAAGAACCTGATAGGACTCAGGCTTAGGGAGAGAGGAGCTAATGTCACAAATGTGGCTTGGCGAGGAAAAGGATTTCATGTGATACATGATTATGAGTCACAGGTATGTTATTATTTCACACATATGACTCATTCGAATCATATGATTTGTTATGTGTGGGATTTGTGATGCTTTCGCATATGGCTCAAATATGAGTCATGGGACGTGCACTTGATAAGTATGCCTTACGAGTGTGCCTTGCAGGTATGCCTTGTGCATATGATTTATGCTTCTCACATAACCTCGTTAGGAGGTCATGGGTTTTACGTATATGACTCAGTCGAGTCATATGACTTGTTTATTGTATTATAATTAGTTTATGAGTTTTTGCACATGACCTCGCTATGAGGTCATGGGTTTTGAGCATGTGACCACTTTGGTCACATGACTATTTTATTATGATTTGGTTTTGCATATGGGACCACTTTGGGTCACATGATTACGGGCGGGAAGAATACTATATAAGGAGGCCAATGCAGCCAAGGAGGATAGGTTCTTCACACTTTGTTCTAAGTACTTTCCCTACTTATTACTTTAACGAATATAAAACACCTTTACGATCTTTATCTTTATTGTAACATTATTGTTATACCAAGGAGAGCTCTTCACGAAGAAGAGTTAGAGAAAACTTATCATTGGCGTTTCCGATAGAAAACAAAGCTCTTGTACTATCAGTAACGTAGGCAGAGGCCTAGTGCTATTGTAAGACGAAGAAAGAAGGAGAATAAGAAGAGAAGTATCGTTCTCCATCACCAAGAACTAATTATCCAAGGGGGTATCATTACAGGTTGCAACCATTCCGCAATGAATTCTTCTGCAAATGCAAATAAATATAATCAATGTTAAAGTCTCAACAGTAGAGTTTGAAGGAACAAAACAGTAAAACTTAATATTGTTAAGCCCCTGCTTTACTCAATTAATTTCTGACCTCGAGAGGTCGTTGATTGCCAGAGTAGAGAAAAACTCACATATACTTAAGTAGATTTTATATACTGCCAGTTGCTACCCATCACTACTCTGTGTTCATGAGCACCCAACTCCCTTGAGCTGCTTAGCCAACCTCCATGGATCTGATCAAAGATCCTCTGTAGTGAACTAAACTGCTCTGTGGTTTGCTAACATCTATCCAATAGAAGTGGTCTAGCCCCTGCATCTAAAATGCAACTACAAGAGTAAAAACTCTACATATCACAGACATGTCAGTAGCGAAAGGTCATGTCCGCGTAGATGTGATACCAATTATGAAACTCTCTACCCATGTACACTTAGTCTACTTCAAGCATCCATGACCTCTGAACATCTATCCGGTTCTACTTTATTCTATATCATTCTGGATAATAGCCACGTAGCTCTCCTGATAAACTCCTTCAGTAGTTGACTACCAATAGGCGCTACCCAAAGTCAACCCTTTTAGAAATAGCTCTTATCATGACTTCAGACTATTGTCTCTGAGTCCTAAATAATTCTCCAATACTATTACACTTTCGGGGCAACAGATTTCAATTACCTCACATACTGGCCTCCAGTAATCTCACACACTACCTCTCACTTCCAAGTAGTAATACTCTATCAGTTATGGTCCGTTTTGCACGAAACCACCTGGAGACCATTCTCCAGATTTACCTCTACCCCTTCATATAGAGCCCTTACACTCCTGCCGAGATTGCATCCCTCACGAGATTTTCCTTAGTAATTTGCCAAGAGTTCTGAAAATGGAAACATTATGTAAAATATTCAAGAATAAGAAGAAAAAAAAGTATACTTGTAGACGTCATAATATAAAGCAATATAGTACACTAAGTTTGGATAATTTCAGTATTCAGAAAGCCAACATTGACGATGGGTTCAGCAGAGGTACCACAGGAGTTGCGTGAGGAAATAGACTTTGAAATGCTCAAAAATCATACAGTAAAGACACAGAGGAAAGCTACTGATGCAGTAGATATTCCATACAGTACCCTGAATTACAGAAAGGTATTTTCATACTCTATATTAGCAAACAATAGACTATCATATAAGTACAAGAACAGAAGACAGGAAATAAAAACAAAACAAGAAAACCAACAACTCCTGATAATAGCTGAAGAACAGGCCTTGATCGATCGTGGCTTTCAGCTAAAGCAATGGGACTTTCCATCTAAGATCTACAAATTTGTAGATATCGGTAACTTCATCTATCGACAGCAGGTTAAGGAGGGCAAACTGGGTTGAGGTTGGCTAGAAGGCTTTTATAAGAGGCATCCTAATGTAAAGATACGATATAGTAAGCCAATGGATTAAATTCCAGCAGTTCAAGGTAGTAATTTGGATGTCACTACTACATTTTTTCAGTTAGTATAATTCAATTCAATCTGACATAGAAAACTTAATTAAATTAGTACCAATATCAAAG